GGCGTTCGACAAAGATGGATGGATAGTAACATGCGCCTCGCAGTATCTGTTATGGCTGCCGCCGCATGTTAGGAAGAGCATCCAGTATCCTTTAGATTTGCCCCATGTTCCACCTGAAAACACATTACGAATCGACCTTGAATCCGCTCCAATTGGAAACCGATGGACTGAGGTTTTCCTTTACCAGTAGCCTAGTATGATGCGATGTTCGAAACATTTTCATTTATAAAAGCATACGTCAATCTTTTTGTATGTAAATCTGGCTTTTGAATGGCCAGCATACGAGTGATTTAGCAATTGATGGGGACTGGGGTCCTGATGATCGAGGTTAACTAAAGCGCCGCTGATGAAAACGAGTGAGCCCAGTTGCTCTCGTTACAGTAGCCATCGGTAACATAAGAGGAGAACAAAAGTGGACATCTTGCTATCATCTATCAATATGCTTAGGCTAACCAGTATCACACACGTCAAGGATTTCGTTGACCCAAGTTCTGACATCCATTCAAGCTCACAAGTGTCTGTTTTACCACCCGGCCATCTATGACGCCAGCGGTCCTTCCTCTTCCGCCACTGCCTCCACCTTGGGCACCCCAACCTGCGTCAAAAGCTCTACTACACCCTTTGCTTGGATCGCCCTCATCTCTGCGTCACTCTTCGCCAACAACATCCCCGCAAACCCAAGCGCATTTACGCTCAGCTTTTGAGGCGTATACGCTTCATCTTTCTCTTCAGCCTTGCCTTCTTCATGCACAGGGTGCAAAACGTCCTGCGTCAACTCTCTTCGCCTCGGAATAAGGTGCATATGTTCGGACGTCAAAAGAACGTTGTAGCTTGTACTCGTGATAGATGTCGAGTCGGTTGGATCCGAAGCGTGATATCGACGAACGGATTGGAAGGCTTCGTCTAGGAGGCTGATAAATGCGGATGTGAGTTTTTGGGAGAGTTGTTCGAGTGGTTGTTCGGCCAGGGGTTTCAAGCCTGAGACGGTGGATTTAGGAAGGTCGAGTTTATGAACCAGATGAACGTAGGGAAGAGGGAGCGCGAATATCTTCTCTGCGTTCAAATCGCATCAGTTTTTGAGCAAAATCATACCTAGAGGGACGAAAACTTACTCTCATCTTCAAGCGTCAATCTCGACGCCAATGCCTCGATAGGCGGTCTCCTCCCACCCTCTTCTTCTTCGTCCTCATCCGCCTCGTCCTCTCTGGTCGGAATCAACTGGACATGCTTATGCGGCTGACTCGCGCCAGAGTCCTTTCCGCAATTGTAAAACGCAAAGACTGGACTGGAGGATTTTCGGGCGGCGCGAATGAGGAGATAGGCTTGAGTCAGGTCGGAGGGTGTAAGGGGGGTATCTTGCGGCACAAAGTCTGTCCCCAAGCGAAGAAACATCAATTGTAGGTAAAATCGCGAGGTGGAGAGTATTATACCTTTGGTAACCATTAGAAAGTGTCCCGGGATGACGCTAAATTTGTTCAGCTACCAGCCAAACGCGAATCAGCTGTGCTGTTCTCAGAGCACATGCCATATCCAGACGATACGCACGCACAAGAATCACATACTCGTCTCCCTCGAGTTGATCCTTCAGTTCTCCGACATGAAGGTCCGAGACATATGGAGGCGCGAACGGGTCTGGCTTATCCTGCTTTACAAAATCCGGTGCAGGGAGTGTGGGCTTCTTTTGAAGAGCCGGGCAAGTGCTTATTTCAAACTATCGATATGGTAAAATATATCAGCCGGAGGCCCAGGTCCAGAAAGGAGAAGAAGAGAGAAGTACGTTGACGCCATGTTCCTCGCTCCGATGGACAGTCGAAGGATAGAATAACAACGCTCCAGATGCCTTTGCTTTCTCAAACTGAGAAGGTATAGCCGATATGACCTCGGAGTGCTTAAGGACAGCCATGGGTCTAGTGCAAGGGGAGAATCTAGCGCAGAGAGGGCAGTTTGTCTATGCGAGATGAAAGGTGGTCGTGGGAGATCCCAAAAGATCCTCGCTTTCCTTTCTGGGAAGTAGTACTCAGCCGCCTGGCGCTTGGACAAAACACATACGTCCGACGACCATCACGACAACACGTTTATGATACATGGTTCAGCACAGTTCAGCCCCGCCCGTAACGTCCATCCAGATAACTGAGAAACAAAATGACGAGTTTCATATTTCCCCAGGCAAGCTTTAAATAATAGACTCGTGGAAAACACTCAAATTTGTCAATCGTTAGAGCCAATCAGTAACCGGGACATCCACTATTATCTATTAACAAATCACATATTATTCGCTCTTGGCTGGCTGCTCATTCTCATAGCTACGCTCAGCCACCTGTTCACTCCAACAGTCGATCAACCCACTTCTAAATTCGCCCGACTGTTCAGCTTTCAGCGTACTCCAAAACTCCCTCAGAAAGCTCCTGCTTGGCTTCCTCCATCAGTGCATCGTATATTCAGGCAGTCATGTACGGCTTACTCCGATGGCCATCTAGGACCACTGGTGAAATATATGCAAACGGCAATGTTATTACAAGTACCACTTGCGATTAAAAGTCGCTCGATTTTGGCAGGTATACAGATTATTGGCCGCACGTATATCATCTGGGGTGTCGTCGAGTCATATCCAGTAGTAAGTGTATCTGACTCTTGTGGGGTGGATTGACGCCAAAGGACGAAACAGACACACTCGAATCCTTACTATGCGCTCTTGGTTTTGGCCTGGTCCGGCTCCGAGGTGACCAAACACACCTTCGATGCTTATGACTCGATGGGCAAGGAACTTGGTAGGTTGATATATATCAGGTACGTGGTTATGCTCCAATAAACAGAACGTGCTCTAACCATTTCGAGAAGATATGCGATACTTTCTGTTCTCTATCCACTTGCCGCGTTATCCGAAGCTGCGCTTATATTTTCGACGCTACCGGACTTGTCCCCACGGGGTGGTAAATGGTCAATCTACGACTATTTACGTGGGATATCTTTTGTCATCAGCAAATGGTCAGTGTGGGAGTTGGTGCGCGGTACTTTCTATGTTGTTAGCACCAAACGGTCTTGGCATGAGCTCTTGCGTGGAGTGATGGCCGAGCTCAACAAATTGTCTCCTCTGGAAATGTTCCGCGGGGCGCTCTTTGTGTTTGGCAAATTGACTCCTTCTGAGCTTTTTCATGGGGTGTTTTTCATTATTTGGTGGCCTGGTACGTTTCGCGCTATCTCTTCCGTGTGAAAAGTGACTAATATGTCGTTTTTGCATAAGGGCTATATCTTGTGTATGCCTATGTAGTTGTACAGCGCCGCAAAATCACGAAAGACGAGAAACCTATCGTCAAATCGAGGAGCCGGCTGGAAGTCTTACGAGAGCGTAAGACGAAATAGAATATGGTTATTGCTTTTCATCTGGGAAGGATTGTTGCTTGGTGTTTGGTATTGGGTATGAAATCGAGAGTAGGACTGATTGGGTTTTCAGACGTTTCAAAAATGCTTGCATGTAGCGTCAATGTAGGACACGAATATTTATATGTTTATAGGGGCATGCTCGGGGCGTTGAGACCGAGGCCGGGGCATGTGCTGTTACAACTGTAACATTTTCAGGCAAGGATGCGTGTAACCGCTGGGCGCTTGGCGAGAATACTGTGCTGTTTCACCACAACCGGGACACGTATCTGATTCTTGTACATACCCACCATGGCCCAGGTGTCCGAACCCAAGAAGAAGGATTATCCTTCCAAGCCGCGAGGTGAGTCTGTCGGGCACAAAGGCCAACATCATGCACTAATGCGACGTGATGACGCTTTCAGGCCCCAAACCAGGTATCAAGTACTACCTCATAGCCTACAACGTCGTTTCCGCTATCGGATGGTCCCTTGTCCTCGCCGCGACAGTTGCACATCTCCTCAACCTTAATGTCCAACCACCCCCATCCAAGCTCGCACGTCTCTTCAATGCTTCGCGCACGCCGAGTCCCCCGCGCTGGCTTCCGGCCTCTATCCACCCCGTGTTCAAACGCGCGTGCACGGCATATGCGATTGGGCGCGTTGGACCGATTGTAAGGATTGTGCAGACTGGGGCGTTGTTGGAAGTGTTGCATGTGTTGATGGGACTCGTGAGGAGTCCGTTGGCGACGACTGCTATGCAGGTCGCGAGCCGGATTTATCTGGTGTGGGGTATCACAGAATCGTTCTCCGCGGTGAGTTTTACACCACGCGTTGGGGGAGATGGAGTGAGACTGACGATGACACGGATAGACGCGTTCTAACCCGTTCTATGCAAGCATGGTCTTGGCGTGGTCTGTTACCGAAGTCATTAGATACAGCTTTTACGCATGCAATCTTGCTGGAACGGAGCCCGGATTTTTGGTCTACCTTCGGTGCGTCTATTTGCCTGTTCCCCCTACGAGACATTAAACTTGCTGGCATAGATATACGACCTTCTATATCCTGTACCCACTCGGCGCCTCCTCCGAAGCAGCACTCATCTATTCTACACTCCCCAACTCTTCCCCTCTGAGTGGAACTTGGTCCCCATATGATCTCTTGCGTGGGGTTTTCTTTCTCATTTGGTGGCCAGGTGCGTCTGGCTCGAGCCAATCCCGTTGATCTGAACCTGAATCCCATGGACAGGCCTCTACGTAATGTACACCTACATGATCAAGCAACGTCGCAAGGTTCTCGGAGGTGGAAAGGCCCGTGTGGACTCGAAGAGCCGAGTGGAGATTTTGCAAGAGCGCAAGTCAAAGTAGATTTGAGATATTGGATGAATATCGGGCGGAAAACAAAAGTACATAGTTCGGATTACTGTTGGATGGGACATTTCTTGTGTTCCAAGGTATAGATCAGAATATATCATCCTTAAGGGCCTGTGGGCAGAACAACAGGGGTTTTTTCTTGGCCCGCGACATCAACGGCGTACTCTTCTCAAGTTTTCAACTTTATTCTCTGTCCTGCGTCCATGCCTGTTGATCGACGTGGTCAGAATTCCGGGCCTTCATCCCACTCACACACTGGATGCAAAAGTTCTGGACACACTGGGGATCGAACCCAGGGCCGCCTCAAATCGCGGGGCACCGTTACCGATGCAGCTGCAAATGAGGCGTGATACCACTACACCATATGCCCTTGTAGGGTTGAAATGTGGACTCCATTGGATCACCCTGATCGAGGCACATGCAAGATTCACCTGACCGCGATCGTTGCCGAGAGCCGGACCCCATCCATCCTCCGTCCACGACCACCACACCTCTCGATTGGTTGCACCTCGGGTGACCATGCTGTCCCAATATGCTCGACGATCTATCTATTCCGCCCCTCGACTCCTTAGGACATATGCGACTCCTGCTGGCGGAAACCACACCCTGCTGTTCCTGGAACACACCAATGGCGCGGTCGATGCTGCCTCTCTTTCCGCACTCACAGCTGCTAAGCAACTCAACGGCAAAGTCACTGCCCTGGTCGTAGGCGGCGAAGAGGCAGAAGTCCAAAAGGTCGTCGAGGAGGCTAAAAAGTAATGTCCGATATATCCGTTTCGGGATCTACTCGCTCACAACGGCTCGGAAGATTGGACGGCGTCTCCAACGTTCTTTACACATCCTCTCCGACGTACAAGAACCTCTTGCCAGAGCATCTCACACCCCTCGTCAAATCCTCTCTCCAGTCTGGTTCTTACACGCACCTCGCAGCCGCCCATTCGACCCTCGCTAAATCCCTCCTCCCACGCATCGCCGCTCAACTCGACGTACCCGCAGTCGCAGACGTTACATCCGTCACACCCAGTGACGACGGCGCCACGACCTTTACCCGACCGATTTACGCCGGAAACGCGATTGCGACAGTCAAAGCCCCAGCCTCGCTCTCTCCTAAAATCTTTACGGCCCGCGCGACGGCGTTTCCCAAAGCTGCTGCGTCTGGATCGGGTGTCGAGGCGACCAAGGTGGATGATACACCCCCAGTCAAGGGGACGGAGCATATTGAGACCAAGATTTCGGTCTCGGACCGACCGGATCTGGCGGTTGCTGGACGAGTCGTGTCTGGAGGACGGGCGTTGAAGGATGCCGAGACGTTTAAAAAGGTTATTGACCCTCTTGCGGATGTGTTAGGTGCAGCTGTCGGTGCCAGTCGAGCAGCAGTCGATGCTGGGTATGTGGATAACTCGTTGCAGGCAAGTACTACATTATTCGTCTTGAGAGCCGTGTATTGAACCGTTTTACACGACAGGTTGGACAAACCGGCAAGGTCGTGGCACCCGAGCTCTATATTGCTGTCGGAATTAGCGGAGCAATCCAGCATTTGGCAGGAATGAAGGACTCGAAGATGATTGTTGCAATAAACAAGGTTCGTCTCTGTCTCGGATGCGTCCTCATTTCTCGGCTTCTCGTCTGTCCACACTTTCCTATCTCCAATTTGGGTGCTCCGTTGATTTTTGTCCGGTTTCATGTGAAACTCAATTATTGACACTCCGAACCCAGGACCCCGACGCACCCATCCACCAAGTCGCAGACCTTGGCTACGTCGCCGATTTGTACGAGGCTGTCCCACAGCTCACAGAGAAGCTCAAGAAGTAGACTTGGCCAGAGACATTTGGTTCATTCATTATGTATTCACAACTAAGCAGGAAGGAATTAAGGAACCGGTGGATGAGTTAAACTTGGCCGGATTTAAGGCTTCAAGCCAGATCTCTCAGTTCTGCGTGGCTTGGATGACGACTGGGATAACGCCTCCAGTAGGCAACGCGTATGGTTTGTGTCCTAGCACACCCAATGCCGCCCCGATCGCCCCTCCATGTGCCGTAATCGAAAAATCTACGATATAAGACCTGATGAGCAAAGACAACTAATAAATGGGAACGCCGAATATGCTCACATGTTTCGTCCTCGGGCAGGAGCTCGGCAAAGATTCTATCTAGCACAGATCGAAGTCGGGTGGTTATTTGTTCGTGAGTTTCGCGACGTTCAGACCAGAGTTCATCCTAGCACGCATCAACGATACAAGTCAGATGTATGAAATTTCGAAAAGTGCGAGAAGCCCTACCTGCTCAGTAAACCCAGGCTCGATCACGAAATCAGGAAACGCCTTTTGGATTTCTGTCTTGGTGGCCCTTTTGTCACACGTGTGTTCGCCGATATCCTCTCGTAAGTTCTGGAAGGTGACAAAATGAAATCAATGAGCAGGCGGACTTAGAAAATGAGACATACCTCTAGAACCAACGGTTTAACAATGTCGCTCTTCCCCTTGATATCGTACAAAACCCCTCTAAATGTGATATCGCATGTCGAAGCAGCCCGAGAAAGAGGAGACGAGAATAGCCTAGTTGGCTAAAACACCAACGATCAAACTTGGGCTTGGGCTGAGCTTCTGAGACCGAAACACACCAGAGGGACCGGATCATCCTTGGCGAGCTCATCTACCCAACCTTTGTGCGCGGCCCTAGCTTGCTCTCTCCCAAGGTCAGTGAGTTCGGGATCGGCTAGTGGTGGGGGAATTAGTTCGCCAGTCGCGAGTGGATGAGTCAGTGTAAGACGTACGACCCCAAACAATCTTCCCATCTCCGTTCAACAGGGACCAGTGCTCGTCCCAGGCTTTGGTCCCATACAGTGATTCGGCTACGTTGTCTGTTGACGTCGCCTGGTCAATGTTCAACTCTTTATACTCGACGCCGGTGCAAAACTTACGCCACCCCTGACCGTGCCGCCCAAACCAACATACACCATACCTCACGCCTTTCGGGGCCTCTGACTGCAACTTAGCAATGCTCGACTTGAAGTCCGACCAATACGTGGGCGAAGATGTTTGTTTTAGACCAAAAGCAGGAGGGTTGGCGCCGATGACTGCTGGATCTGCTAAATCGTCGGTTTGTAGAAAGAAACCACGAACAACCTGTGGGTATTGAGTATTGAAATATTTAATGGCGGCGCCCAAAGAAGCAACACACCTCGAAGCTAAAGGTTTTCATATCGAATATGTCCTTGGATTTAGGAAACGAACAAGGGAAAAGACCGGGCACGGCGCTCTGGTGCGAATGATCGGGGTTGATAACTCTAAGAATCGGCTGATATCTACGTTCTTATATGACCCAGGATAAATGAAACACAGCCTCGGTCATCATGTGTGGGGACAACGTGGTGGTGGCCAGTAGGAATGTGCCACAGAATCACGTGCGGTACGGTCCTAAGTTCAGTCAATCGACGAATAGCAAGATCACTTGGGCGAAAAAAATTATATTAATCACTTCAACCCTATACATCGGGGCTATACCTGGGCAATGCAGTTGGAACCCAAAGCACTGAAAACATTCAGGATCCTCCGGACCAAATCGCTTAGTTCTGGGTAGCTTTGATCACGACCGGGATCACTCCTCCCGTGGGCAGCGAGTACTGGCGATGACCCAACACTCGTAGCGCAGCACCAATTGCTCCACTATGGGCCGTGATAGAAAAGACTGGAGAGCCGATTTGAGCGTCTACGTTGCGCAAGAACTTACGGACCAGCACACTCACAGGTATCATGATTAGACAAGAGCTTGCCGAAAATGGTATCAAGAGCTGCTTTCAGCCTTGTGTTGGCTTCTTCGTCTGTCTCGCGATGGTCGGCAGTCCATAGCTCATCCTACAAACAAATGAGTGGGACAAATTTGAGCTGTAATAAATTGGAACTGTACATCTTCAGCGAATCCTGGTTCGATCCGAAAGTCATAGGTTTTGCGGAGGTACGTCTTGGTTCGTCGCTCGTCACAAGTATGAACGCCAATGATTTCACGAAGATTCTGGGTTGGATATGTGAACTTCATGCCCAGGATTAGTTGACAAATACTCACCTCCATGATGTACGGCTTTACAATATCGTGCTTTCCCTCAACGTTAACCAGCACTCCAGAAAAGGTGACGTTGAGAGTCGATGCAGCTCGAGACATCGGGGACGAAAACAGTTTAGTTGGCTGTGCACTGAGTCAAACGTCAAGCTTGAACATCAACTGAAGGACATACCAGAGGAACTGGATCCTTCTTGGCCAACTCGGTCACCCAAGCATTATGAACAAGCTGAGCTTGTTGTTTGCCCAAATCTGTGAGCAAAGCATCGGCTAAGGATCAAACAAGTGAGAAATACGATAAACTCGTTCCCGCAAAACGGTACGCACGACCCCAAGTCATATTTCCATCACCATTCAATTTGGACCAATAATCATCCCATGCTTGAGTCCCATAGAATGACTCGGCGACGTTGTCTGTTCATCTCAAATGTTTACGTCAATTCCGGACATCGGAACTCAGTGGTAGCACTCACGCCAGCCTTGACCATGACGTCCGAACCAACATACAGCATATCTCACGCCTTTTGGGGCATCTCGCTGAAGTTTAGAAATGCTAGTCTTGAAATCAGACCAATAGGTAGCTGATGTGTTGGCTTTCAACCCAAACGCCGGTGGGTTCGGGCCAACTTTGGATGGGTCAGTCGAGTTATCCGTCTGAATAAAGTATCCTGGAACAACCTAGAGGGCAAACATAAATAAAATGTTCAAGATTAGAAAGTTACGACTCACCTGATAGCTGAACGTCTCCCCCTTGTAATCGTCCGACACGGCTCGAACCGATGCAGCCATTAGAGCCAGCACTCCTACGACCTGAGTAAACCCGCGCATATTTGTCGATTAGGGTGGTATCTCAGATGCCGAAGGTCCTCACAAGAGCTTTTATATCCGTCTGCCTCTAGATAAATATTTATGTTCCTGCCTTCCGCTTCCTTGCATGTGGTGGGAAGGCGTCCGATTGTGTGGGGCAGATCACGTGTGACGCAGTTGGCCAATCATTGGCGCTTGACGTCAAACGTGTTTATTGCCGTTCTGATGCAAGTCTCGCTCCGCGGAAGACGTTACCTTCCTACAACTCACTGTCGGATAATAAGTCGTACGTTTCCCTATGATGTTATTTTCAGTTCAGACAAAAGGACTTATAATCGAACCACCCCTTAGGCTAATGCATGGCCTCATTGGCCAACGAATTGAAGTCGTAACTTGAAAATAGTGACGTATAAGCATCCCAACAGGAAAATGAGGGCCTTATTAACGATATAGCGCATATTTTTAAACAACGACTATCGACATTCACACCTCCTTGAACAATCCTCCA